CTGACCTCAAATGATCTGCCCACCTTAGCCTCCCAAAGTGCTGAGATTACAGGTGTGAGCCACCGCACCTGGCCTGGGCGGAGTGAAGTCTTATGCTGGGGAGCCATCGGCATGCTCAAACCTCCTGCAATTGTAGCACACTTTGTAAAGCTGTTTCCCACAAAAGGGCAGAATTATTTGGGACTTTCATGAGACCATTCACTTGGTAGCACATACTACCTGGAAGTTTATACCTTGGAAAACCTCATGATGGTATTCCCAGGCTTGTACATAATCTACACTCAAAACATAGCTGTAGAATTGAACTAAAGCATCCTTCTGTCCAATTAAGACATATAACCTCTTTTTGAGACAGAATCTCGCTCTGTCACCCAGGCTGGAGTGCAGTGGCGCAATCTCAGCTCACTGCAACCTTCACCTCCCGGGTTCAAGTGATTCTCCGGCCTCAGCCTCTAAAGTAACTGGGACTACAGGTGTGTGCCACCATGCCTAGCTAATTTCTTGTATTTTTAGTAGAGACAGGGTTTCACCATGGCCAGGCTGGTCTCAAACTCCTGGCCTCAAGTGATGCTCCTGTCTGGGCCTCCCAAAGTGCTGGGATTACAGGATGCACCACCGCACCCAGCCAGGACTGATAATCTAATTCATTGTTGGGGTAGATTCACAGTTTTCTTCTGGACGCCTTAGTAAGTCCATGCTTTAAGCAGCCGCCACGTGGCATGCTTTACCTTCTGTTTCTCCTTGCCCCTCCCCTACCTGGACCCTCCTAACTTTTGGGTTTTTTTTTCTTTCCCCAGGATCAGTTTGAAAAGGAGGATTGAGCTCACGGTGGAGTATCCATGGAGGTGTGGAGCCTTGTCACCAACCTCTAAGTGCAGAACTGGGATGTGGAGCTGGAAGTGCCTCCTCTTCTGGGCTGTGCTGGTCACAGCCACGCTCTGCACCGCTAGGCCATCCCCGACCTTGCCTGAACAAGGTAAGGTACTGGCTGGGGGCAGCCTGGACTCCTGGGCCTGGGAAACAGGATGGGCTGGGAGGGAGGTGATATGGTTGCAGGTAATGTGGTCAACAGGGAAGGCTCCTTCCCAGGTGGAGCAAAGAACTCCCATCCTGCAGGGGAAACTCTCAAGATACCTGGGTTGGTTCTGGTCTGGTTATAAACATAACTGACTTCATCAGAGGTTGGGGTCATGAAGGCTGGTGACATCCATTTACCTGAGGTGACATGTTTGTGGCAGTTAATTTATGCTTTTCTCTTTCTGAAGAAAGAATATCTGATTAGGACCCTAGTGTCACACTTTAACATAGGTGATGTATAAAATGCAGCTGGTGGTGCCGTGGGGAGAGAATGACCTTTGAATTTGGATGTAGAACTTGGGTTGGAGTACAGGGGATGTTGTAGGAGGTGAGAGCTTGCTAAAGACCTCTGGCTTCTAGAAAATTGTTCCAGAGCCCCATCTTTGCCAGGCATGGTGGGTCACACATGTAACCCCAGCACTTTGGGAGGCTAAGGCAAGAGGATCACTTGAGGCCAGGAGTTCAAGATCAGCCTAGGCAATATAGCGAGACCCCATCACTACAAAAAAAAAAGGAAATTAACTGGGTGTGGTGGTGCACGCTGCTAGTCCCAGCTACTTGCTACTTAGGAGGCTGAGACAGGAAGATCGCGTGATCCTGAGTTGAGGCTGCAGTGAGCTATGATTGCACTACCGTGCTCCAGCCTGGGTGAAAAAAAGGCACATCTTCTATAATGGTCAGCAGTCATGGCTCCATGCCTGCATTTTCCTATCCTTGATTGTATCTCACAGGTCCTGTCTGGGGGCCTGCCAAGTGGTTTGCTTTGGATAGGTAGTGTTTGAGGGGTTTTGAAGTGATTGAGACCCAGGAAGCATGAAGGAGCATGGAGACCTATGGCGTGTTGGAAATTCAGAGCCATCATCGGTAACAGGAAGGACTTACCCGACCATTCTTGGGATCTGTTTGAGCTGTGAAAAGGCCTCTTGGGAGATTACAGGTATAGCATACCTGGTGGCTTTCGAGGGACTTTGAAAACTAATATATGGGCATTTCTGCTGCCAGAGGATAGTGTGGTTTGTGACTCAGTGGCTGGTCACACAGAGAAGGTTGACACAGTGGGTGAAAGGTTGGAGGTGCACGTGATGGTGTGGCTGTGTTCAAAAGGCTGCCACTCAGCTGGCCAGGGACCTATTTGAAGGATGAGTTATGGGTGAGAATATGTGTCCCCTGGATGGAGTTGGGGGTGAACAGGGAAAGTTGTGTGAGACTTTATAGAAGGTACAGTGTCTAGGGCAGGCATATTCATGTTGCTGTCAGTAACAGAACTGAAGGCAAGGTCTGAACTGGAGCACAGTGGAGACCCAAAGTGGGAGAGACTGTGTCTGCCCACAGGGAGTTTATGGTCAGGAGGGGATGGGCAAGTACAGGGATAAGTAACACAAGACGGACTGTGTTTAAACCACCCGGTGAAATTACAACCAAAGGTGATGGGAATGCAGAGGAAGAGGGGAACAGAGAGCACCTGAGATGGGCTTGAGTTCAGAAGGGGAAAATGAAGGGCCCTCCATGTTGAACAGCATGGGTGTTCAGAGGCAGCATGTATATGGTTTGTGGAGAACGGTTTGCCTGGTGAGTAGATAGTTGGGAAGCAACACTTGGAAAAATTGGATTGAGTTAGCATATGGAAAGCTTAATGCCCTGCCAAGAAAACTATATTTAGGACCGGGCGCAGCGGCTCACGCCTGTAATCCCAGCACTTTGGGAGGCTGAGGCGGGTGGATCACAAGGTCAGGAGTTCCAGACCATCCTGCCTAACACAGTGAAACACCATCTCAAGTAAAAATATAAAAAAATTAGCTGGGCGTGGTGGCGGGCACCTGTAGTCCCAGCCATTCGGGAGGCTGAGGCAGGAGAATGGCATGAACCTGGGAGGCGGAGCTTGCAGTGAGCCAAGATCGAGCCACTGCACTCCAGCCTGGGCAGCAGAGCGAGACTCTGTCTGAAAAAAAAAAGGAGGAGAAGAAAACTATACTTAGGCCAGGCGTGGATTTTGCTGGTAATCCCAACACTTTGGGAAGCCAAGGCAGGAGGATTGCTTGAGCCAAGAAGTTTGAGACCAACCTGGGCAACATAGTGAGACCCTGTGTCTACAAAAAATAGGAAAATTAGCCAGATGTGGTGGCACATGCCTGTAGTCCCAGCTACTAGGGAGGCTGAGGTGGGAAGATCACTTGAACCTGGGAGGTGAAGGTTGCAGTGAGCCATGATCATGCCACTTCACTTCAGCCTGGGTGACAGAGTGATACTGTCTCACAAAAAAAAAAAAAATAGAAAAAGAAAAGAAAACTAGACTTAAATGGGTAGATGTTGGGAAACTTGAAAAGTTTTGAGCAAGTAATGTCACAATCGGCTTTCAGAAAGTTAATTTGGCAGCTCAGTGTGGATGGCTGGGGGAAAGAGTGAGGTGCACCTGTGTTTGCGCCCTGCTCTGCCACTTGATAACTGCATTATTTACTTCAACAAACTACTCAAACATGGTACGCCGCAGTTTGCTCATCTGTAAAACAGGGATAAATAATAAAGGGTTAAGTGGGATAATCCAGATGAAGCACTTCCATGTAAGGTGTTAGTAGTTGTTACTGCTGCCACCGCTGCTGCCAGAAGGATGAGGTTGAAGGTTGTTTTGAGTGTCTGGCTAGAGGAAGTGCAGGTACTGACCAGGATGGGGACTAGGAGATGATAAAGGAAGGAAAAAGTAGTAAAGACCCTATAGCAATAGCATCTGTGGGTTTAAGTAGGTTAGGTGTCGACTCTGGGCAACTGGAGACTAAGATGAGAGTGTAAAGGGAGGTTTGAGGGGAGTTGAGATTTGAATCCGCCAATTGTAGACAACGATAAAGGAGTCGAAGTGCAGCGAGGACCTGGTTGAGGTTTGAGAATGTGAATTTATGATGGATCCTAAAGTACTTTCTTTTTTTTGCAGCCCAGAAGGGAGATGTTGGTCTCGGGCCTGGCCGCTTGTGGGCCAGCCCAACGGGATGAGTACAAGGAACTTTAGGACCAGAGTGAGGGTGCTAGTATAGGAGGAGGGTGTCACGGAAGCTGCTGGGGCAGGGTGGAGGCTGGAACCTGGCGGCTGAAGGTCTTGATGAGCACAAAGTACTGGCCTTGTGAACAGAAGAAAGGGAGGAAGAGAGGTGGATGGGGCTCTTAGGAGGCCATGTACCCAGGAAGACTGACATTAAATGACCATTTTTTTAAAAATCAACTTAACTGGCAAAGGCACAGTGGCTCCCACCTATAATCCCAGTACTTTGGGAGGCAGAGGCGGGAGGATCACTTGAGCCCAGGAGTTTAAGATCAACCTGGGCAACATAGCAAGCAAGACCTCATCTTTATAAAAAATAAAAAAAAGGTAGCTGAATGTGGTGGTACACGCCAGTAGTACCAGCTCTTTGGGAGGCTGAGGCAAAAGGATCACTTGTGCCCAGGAGTTTGAGGCTATAGCGAGCTGTAATTACCCCACTGCATTCTACCCTGAGTGACAGAGCAAGACCTTAAAAAAAGTGGGTTTTGTTTGTTTGTTTTCTTAAAGAGACAGAGTTTCGCTCTGTTACCCAGGCTGGAGTGCAGTGGCATGATCTTGGCTCACTGCAACCTCTGCCTCCTGGGTTCAAGTGATTCTCCTGCCTCAGCCTCCTAAGTAGCTGGAATTACAGGTTCTCGCCACTATGCCTGGCTAACTTTTATATTTGTAGTAGAGATGGGTTTCGCCCTGTTGGCCAGGCTGGCCTTGAACTCCTGACCTCAAATGATCCACCCACCTTGGCTTCCCAAAGTGCTGGGACTGTAAGTGTGAGCCACCGTACCTGGCCAAACCAACTTAATTTAGGTATAACTTACCCACTATAAAATACAACTGTTTTAAGTGCGTAGTTTGATGTGTTTTGATAAATGTCTACACCCCGTGTAACTATTACCCCAATCAAGCGATGAAACATTTTCCTCATGCCCTTTTGCAGTCCGTCCCATATTTGTTGGGTCACCTGTATTTGGGTTAACAGTTTGAGCTATTAATAAAACTGCTGTGAACTTTCATGTGCAAGCCTGTGTGGGCACACATTTTCCTTGGACTGCCCTGGTTTTGATTTTGGCTCCACACCTGACTGACTGTTGGCTCTTGGGAAAGTTCCTCTTTGTGCCCTTTTATAAAATATATTGATAATGAATGTGTGCTCATAAAGTCTTTGTAAATGCCATATGTCTGCAGAGCTCATAGGATCCTGCCTGGTCCTAGGCCGTGAGCAGTCAATGGCAGTTGTGGGTCCCTTTTCTTGGGCCTCCAGGGGAGGCAGCACATGGCGAGGAGCATGTTGTTTCATGGGACACAGCAACGGAAAGCCGCTGCACTTGGAGAACAAGCCCCAGGTCTCCATTTGGCGGAGTAAACCCCATCTCAGTGTGAGTGTGTTGCTTTCACATAGCCTGTCTCTCATGAGCTTTCTGACAGAACAGAGAACTGCTGTGGCCAGGACCTTCTAAGGGGAGATCTGGCTTCATGCTTTGTAAGCCGTAAGGAACTTCGTAAGTGTAAAGTGTATTATATAGTCTTGGGCCTGCTGATTATTAAATAATAATACTGCTATATTTAAAAATTTATTTATTTACTTATTTATTTGAGACGGAGTCTCACTCTGTTGCCCGGCTGGAGTGCAGTGGCACATTCTCAGCTCACCGCAACCTCCACCTCCTGTGTTCAAGCGATTCTTCTGCCTCAGCCTCCTGAGTAGCTGGGATTACAGGCATGTGCCACCATGCCCAGCTAGGTTTTTTTTGTATATTTAGTAAAGACGGGGTTTCACCATGTTGGCTAGGATGGTCTCGATCTTCTGACCTCATGATCCACCCACCTCGGCTTCCCACAGTGCTGGCATTACAGCTGTGAGCCACCATGCCTGG